ACCTTATCCAGAGAAGCAGTGACAACAGAGATGGAGGCAAAGATGGGGACATGGAGAAAGGGAGCAGCTGAGGAGTCTAGACTCATGGGAAGAAAAAGGGTGTATGCTGGTAGCTAGAAAGCAGGTTTGCAGAATGTGCCCTTTGTTTTTTAAATTATTATATATTCCTGAGTATTTTTGTGTACACCCCCCCAAAAAACACACACAAACAAACATAGACGCAAATACTGTTGAATGATGATGCATGGAGGAAATTGCAATCATTGCAATGAAACAATGATGTAAAAACTGATGTTCTATCATGTAAACTACCACTCAATTCACAATAAAAACTTAAAAAAGAAAGCAAGTTGCACCGAGGAATTTTTTTCTTTAATGACAATGGCACCTGCTAATTCTTCGAGGGTAGCAAGGGCTGTTCTATGAGAATTGTTCCAGGAAACCTTATCCAATGCACCCTACAGCCATGATCTTGCCCCTTCATAATTCTTTTCTTCCCCCAAACTCAAAGAACATTTCAAAGGAATCTGAGTTCCGTGTGGAAGCCAAAACTATTGTTTTGACATGGTTTAAATTGAAGAATGCAGAATTCTTCAGGGAAGTGTTAGAGATATGGAAACATTGCTGTCAGAAGTGCACAGTCTTAGTCCCCTTGTATATAGGTTTGACAGAGGATATTTCTACATATTTAGTTATGGTGATGGTGATGGTTGTATGCCGTCAATTTGGTTCTGCCTCATAGTGATCCTGTATAGGGTTTCCAAGGCTATAAATCTTTATAGGAGCAGAAAGTCTTACCTTTCTCCCATGGAGTGACTGGTAGATTTGAACTGCTGACCTTGAGGTTAACAGCTCAGTTCATAATCCACTATGATCCTTATGTATTTATGTGTACTTCAAATACATCCACAAATATGGTAGACCATAGAGGGGACAAAGTGATGAAAACTCCTTAGCCATAACCAAACACTTAGAGGAAATAAGTTGCTGGTCCTGGGAAACCAGGACCAAAATCTTAGGAACTTCAAGATCAATTGGCATAACATAGTCAAAAACATGAAGTCCTGGTGTAGTGTTATAGGGTAAGCACTATACTGCTGGCCACAGGTCGACTATTCAAACTCATCAGCCACTCCTCAGAAACTCTGTACAGAGTCACCGTGAGTCAGAACCAATTTGACAGCACTCAACAACAATACAACAATTGAGTTCACAAAGACAATGTTCTACATCCTCCTTTGGTAAGTAGAAACTGGGGTCTTAAAAGCTTGTGGGCTGCCATATTGGTCTTTTCCCACCCAGAGTAGAGAAGAATTAAAAAATCAAAAACAAAAGCACATGGAAATAGCTAGTCCATAGGACCACACAAATCTCATTTGCCACCACCCTGGCTCCAGAACTAGACGGTGCTTGGGTATCACTGCCAACTACTCTGAAATGAACCAAATAGAAGGTCCTGGATAGAGTGGGAGAAAATGTAGACCAAAACACAAAAGAATAAACAGCAGGCTTACTGGTCTGGTAGAGACTATGGTCCATAGACAGCATTCAAGCCTTGAAAGGAACTCAGCCCCATGGCTCACTTTCATCCAAACAATGTTGTTGTTGTTACGTGCCGTGGAGTTGGTTCCGACTCATAGCAACCCTGTACAGGGATTCCGAGGCTGTAAACCTTTACGGGAGCAGAAAGCCTCATCTTTCTCCCTTGGAACAGCTGGTAGTTTTGAACTGCTGACCCTGAGGTTAGCAGCCTGATTCGTAACCACTATGCTACCAGAGCTCATTATCCAAACAATAGATGAAACTATAACAATAACATCAGGGCAGTACATACTCCTTAGAACAACCAACTCTGTAAGACCAAAAGGGCAGTATTTGCCCGAGATAAAGCTCAAAAGGCGAAAGGAATACGAAAAAAAATTGCATGGAAACAGATAGAATGTGGGAAGAGTGCAGGAAATTGAAGATTGCAGTCACTGTCACAAAACAAAATATGTATACATTGTTGAAGGAAAACTAGTTTTCTCTGTAAACTTTCACCCAAATTACAATAAAAAAAAGTTTTAAAAACCAAACAACAAAATGTATAGATTTAGATGGAAGATACGCTGAGACACAACAGCTTCACATTTTGATATTTTTATTTAGTAAGGCTTTCTATGTTTTTATTGCAATACCTTTTATTTTAACTTACTCACGGAATATTATTTGGAAATAATATTCAATGAACAATGGAATATTAATTGGAAATAAAAAGAAATGCAGTCCTAATACATCCTGCAACATGAATGAACCTCAAAACATTAATGCAAACTGAAAGAAGACTACATATTATAAGATTCCATTTCTAGGAAATAGCTAGATAAGGCAAAGATCTTGAGACAGAAAATAGATAGTGGTTGTCTGGGACTGAGGTGGGAATGAAGATCGTCTACAAATGGATACAAGGCATTCAGTGGGGTGGGATAATGGGCAAGTTCTAAAATTGACTTGTGGTGATTGTTGCAAAGCTCTGTAAATGTACTCAAAATCACTGAATGGTACACTTCTGAAGGGTAGATTTTATGGTACATACATCAGAAAGCTGTTGTTGTTTTTTAATTCTATTTCTAATGCCTTAAAGCACCCTTACTTGTTTTTTTCTTTTGTCTCTTCTTGTCTTCAAACAGGGACAGACTAATTTTACTCAGTATCTTGACATAGCTCTCAATAGCTCTGAGTGTCGCTGGTAATATCTCCATTTGTGCTACCCAGTGACTGTGTTCTTCAACCTCAGTTGTAGTAACATTAGACAAAATGACACCTTGAAGAGAGTAAAAAGAAAACAAAAACCATTGTGTAGGAAAATAATTCATCATAACGACATAGTTTTATAACATTGGCTGACTATTCAATACATTAGGAGTCCGGATATGAAGCAAGATAAGCACTGGACCACAAGATCATTTGAACAGTAGTTGTTTTTGTTGTTGTTTAGTGCTGTCAAGTCAGTTTCAACTAAAAACAACTCTATATAGGGTTTCTGAGGAGCAGCTGGTGGGTTTGAACTGCTAATCTTGCAGTTAGCAGCACAGGGCTTATTCTACAGCATCATACCAGTTGTTGTTGTTGCTGTTAGGTGCCATCAAGTTGGTACCGATTCATAGCGATCCTATGCACAACAGAACAAAATACTGCCCGATCCTGGGCCAATCTCACAACTGTTGCCACACTTGAACCCATTGATGCTGCCACTTTGCCAATCCATCTTACTGGAGGTCTTCCTCTTTTTCTCTGACC